AAGGAGCTGTGCTACTAACCCAGCACTCTGAGATGGAAGTCCTGTGAAACCTCCCTAAACACTTCTCATTCAAGAACCTCTTCACAGGAGATCTCTACCTCTGCTACACAGCTGCAGGATTCTGACCCAGCCTTTCTTCCTCTGACTGCAGAACACAGAGCTGCAAAAAGCCACACAGGTTAATTAGGAAGCCTAGAGTTACATCAGTTCCCAGGGGGTAATAATTGGATGCCTCATGGGAGAATGAACAAAATATTCCATAAAAGTAAAACTTGTTTGGTGAAACTAATGAAAGAAGGGGGCAAAGGATGGGAGACTTAAAAAAGTTTGCAGAGTTCTCAGCTTTCAAAGTGAGGGTTCGGTGTAAATTAAGAGAGGGCGTCAAGTGGAAGCATTACTCAAGAAAGTAATCATTAAAGTAATAATGCTTATTGCAGGAAAAATGTATTGAAAATTAATAATGCAGAAGTACTGAATAAAAAAGACAGAATATTGTATTCAGTTAAAGTTGGAGCCAGGCAACAGTAGAATGAGACACAGACTACAAAGGTAATTTTTTGGGTGAAAAAAAAAACACTACTGAGTTTAAAACATAAATAACATGTTATGTTATGTAAACATAAACAACATGGTAATATATTTCTAAAAACTATAACAACAAATCAAGGTGGAGGAACTAAGACCATATCTATTACCTGACTGTACTTAAACGGTTCATCTTAAACAATCTCCATGCTGGATTGTAAGGTAAAATTTAATTAAGCAACTACATGCTAATACATATCAAAGTGATTCAGAAAGTCAAAATTTAAAAATAGGTAATGATGGATCATGAAAAAGAACATACGGATTGCAGAATAGGCAGTTTATAATGAAAAGATATTAAGCACATATAAAAGTTTACAAACAACACATTATCAATATCCATAATGTAAACTGGTAAAAGTAAAACAATCACCAAGGAAACAGGAAAATATGATTCTCACTTTTCAGCCTATAATGGATCAAGTAGCCGGAAAACTTACTTATACTAAATAAATGGACAAAGAAAGAAAATATAAATACAATGGCTGTGTGTCTACATTTGTGTCTATATTTGTCAAATTTGGAACTTAGAAAGCAAAAACATCATTTTCAAATATTTGTGAATTAAAAAACTAGATGCTTGAATGTAAAATATCCAGTAAATTATAGACAGTCAAAAAATAAGAGTATATGATCATCCTCAAAGATCCATCAAGCCATGAAAAACCAAGTAGTCTTAATTAAATATTTCAATATCAAAGGCACCAATCTGGAAAGTCTATATAGATCCAACAGTGTGACATTCTAGAAAAGACAAAATACAGAGAGTGAAAAACCCTGAGAGACACTAATGGTGGGCATAGACATGGAGTCCAGGTATAGTTTTGAACACTCTACACAATGCAGAACAGCTTACCAGAAAATATAACTTCTCTTTCCAAGCCACCAATAGTGTTAGGGTTGAAGAACTCTGCCATAAAGTAACCACAACACATATTATGGATGAAAGCCAATGGGTGGACTAGAATCTAATTATGACAAATATTTAACCAAAATATGAACACAAAAAAAGAACAAATGAATCAAAAATGAAAGGAAAAAACTGGGAAACAAGTTACAGGTAATCAATCATATCAAAAATCTCAAAAATGTTTAAAGAGTAATCATTCTAGCTAAAAGACAAATGAGACAAGAATGGATTAACTCTATGAACTATGGGAATGATATACGAAACATACTGTATATACAAAGAATTAGTAAGTAGAGACTAAAGGATAAAAAGTGATATTCAATGGAAAAAGTAAGGACAAACTTGATGGAGGTGCTAAAATAATAACAGATTTCAAACTGAACTTTAAAGCATTAGACATTGTCAAGGAGGAGCACCACAGAGCTGGAGAGGTGGCTCAGAATCTAAAAGCACTTACTCCTCTTCTAGAGGATCCAAATTCAGTTCCAAGCACCCATGTCAGGTGGAACACATTTGGTAACTCTACTTCCAAGGGAGATGATGCCCTCTTCTGGCCTCCTGAGGCACCTGCATGCATGTGATGTACATAAACTCATTCTTTCAAAGTAACTCATATTTAAAAGAATAATTTTGAATACTCATAATAGAAAACAGGACAAATCTTATATCAATAACCTTGGTGTCTTCTTTAAGCAGTTATAGAAGTAGAAAAGTAATACCTGAATAAACAGATGGAAAAAAACTGTAGAGAAAAGAGCAGAATAATTCTAATAAATAGTAATCAAGCAATAGGGAAGTAAGCCAAAGGGAGTCAAAAGGTATGTCTTTCTAAAGCTAACTAAATTTATATGAGTAGGAAATGCTGAGGACTCAGAATACCCTTAGTGGGAAGCGAAAACATTTCTAACATATTTTACTGACATCAAAGGGGAAATGAGGAATAATGTTAATAATTTTATATCTTCAAGCCCAAGAGATTATGCTTAAGAGGTTTCTTGAAAAACAAAGCTTACTAAAATTCAAGTAAATAAAATAGTATAATTATATAGTCGTCATGAAATAATTTTTACTTAAGAAACCATTCCACCTGAGTAATGTCAAGATTTCCTGCATAAATTTTATCAAACATTCAAGACAGAGAGTAAATTACTCACAAACAAAATCTTCTAGAAAATAAAGACCAGAATATTTCTTAACTTATCCTGTGACGACAGCACAGTGCATATGTTAAACACTGAGAACAGAAAAGTAACAAATGACAGATCAACGTAATTCACACATGCCAACACAGATTCCGAAAGAATAAGTAAAACTGGCCTATGTTTCGATGAGCAGAATGGAATGAAAAAATGTGGAAATACCCAGAGATGTGTGAGGAAGGTAATAGATGATGCATGTGTATTTCAAACAGTAGGGAAAGGTAGAATATTGAATAAGTAATGTGGAGAATTTTAGCTGGTTGAATATTTCCCAACTCAAGCAAATTTCAAATGAAAAGCAAATTAAACATGTTTAGAAGTTAAATTATGAACTCAACACATGGAAATGTATATTATAATTCTGTTACAGAATTTGACAGAATTTGTCAAAAAGACAATTTTCACAATTTTCACAAATTTCACAACATTAACACTGAATGATAAATCTGGGACACAAGAATTGAGAACCATAAAATAACATTTTGAAGTTCTAAGTGCTGTGACACACTAGAGGAAAATGTATACATTATGTGTGGTAAAAAAAAAAAAAAGATATCATATTCTCCAACACAAAAGCATCCCTTGCAAATCACAAAGGACAAATACTTGCTTCTAGTAAAAACAGAAAGGGGGGTACTTTACAGAAAAAGAAAACAACTCCCTTTCACATTCTCATAATATAAATTAAATAAAAACAATATTTTGTAAATCTAGTTGACTGGCAAAGTAAAAAAAAAAGTTTCCTGATGCATGTTAGGGAAATTATGTTTTAGGATTGCCTTTTGCATCAACAGTTACACCTTGTCTGGTGGGCATTTGGCTATCTCTGTGAATCAAGAGTCACATGACTTGGACTTAATGAATTCCACTCTGGGAACTATAGGTTACAGACACACTTGCACACTTATGCGAAGCCCCGTGGCAGGAATATTTACGGGAGCACAGTTGGCAAAGACAAACATAAATGTTCACCATGAGAAGCTAGCTAAACAGATATAAACAGTAACACTCTGCCGTAGTAAAAGCTGAGGCTGATCCTCAGCTCTGTCAATTTTAAAGGTGTACACACAAACGCGTCTTAGTATTTTATATCTGCAGACAATTTCTTCAAAAGTGGGCAACAAATTACTGGCACCCATGTAAAAAATGTTGAATGGAGGGTCTGGAGTAGAAAACAGAAATCTTAAAAATAAATATTTTGTAACATTTACATGTATTTTAAATGTGTATTGTTTTTATTGAAAAACTTCTTTATTCTAAAAGTCAATAAGCTAAATGACTCAGTTAATTCGTGTATCCATAGAAAGATCTAAATAAACACAACTCTTTGATATGGTAAGCTTTTATAAAGAAAACAGTATGTTCAAGGTACTTGAGTTCACAGATCACAGAATGTGCCAAACCCAATGTCCAGTGTTTAATGGAAAACAAAAGTGGTGTCTACCTTCTGTAAGTTCACAGTTCCATGGGGAAGATCTCATCTTCAGCCTTTGATGAAGATGGCCACCCTATGGCTTATATCTAAAAGGGTTGGGGAATACATGTCTTTCCAAGATCAACTCAGCAAGTTACCCAACACTCGCTTGTAGACCTCAACTAGTCCCTGTTAATGGTCTGAGACTGTTGAGCTCCAGGGAGAAGTTAGATGAAGAAGAAGAAGAAGAAGAAGAAGAAGAAGAAGAAGAAGAAGAAGAAGAAGAAGAAGAAGAAGAAGAAGAAGAAGAAGAAGA